AACACCCGTTCACTCTGAGCTTCGCTCTGAGCTCCAATGGCACAGATACAAACATAGATAAGGCACTTTTTTACCTTCATTTATATTACAGTTATGATTTAAGAAAAAGACAAAAAGCTTAAGTGTGCTACATGTTTTACCTTGGAGGGAGAGGCAGAAAAAAAGTCCTTTATGTTGCGTTTAGGCGTCGGACTCGACTGAACGTCTTTTTGTTTGCTGTTTCTTGCTCCTTTAGTCTTATCTTTGGATTTCAGACCCCTCTTAGCCATGCTGGAATCTGTGCCATTGGAGCTCAGAGCGAAGCTCAGAGTGAACGGGTGTTCCTGGTTGACCAGGTACAGAGTGCCTCCGTGAGCCAGTTTACCAGACTTGCCCTGGCCCAGTTTTTCAACGCCCAGGAAACAAGGGTTGGGACCCAGCTGTGGATAGCAACGTGACAAAGATGGACATTGAACTGTAGAATTGACATGAAAGAGTTTTATGGGCTGAGAGATAAACGTGTTGAGTCCAGGAGGGAAAACTAAAGTGAGCTGACAGTTTTTCACACAGAACGACTGTTCTGACGCGGATTGTTTCAAAGAATCTGCTCAGAGTCTGGTGTTGAGGGAAGTGTAATATGATATCACGGCACTGGGAGTGTTTCTTTTCATACCTGAGTCACGGACACTTCCTGGTCTGCATAACAAGCCACCACCTTCACTGAAAGAAACACAAGATTTAGACTAAACAAGCTGTATGCTGACACCCCCCATCGTTGAGGGATTTGAACAGTGAATGTTTGTAGTTTTAGAGATTAAGTGTTTTTCTGGACTGGAAGTGAACAGAGAACGGAAGAAAAATCTGATCATATTTGGTGCAAGGTGCTCAAGTGTGTAGGAGTTACACTGTGTATAAATGTAGAGGTAGTTTTGTATTTATTTTTTGTTGTCCCAGGCAGTGAAGAGTAACGGATCTATGAGCGTGGAGGAAGCAATTTTATCCACCACCAGGCAAAATGGCAGAGCCAGAGGGTGGCTAATGGTGGCCTTGGCCACCAAAGACCAACCTATAGCCACTCCAATCATCTGAGGAAACTATACTGCAATATAAAAACTAGAAAACACTGTCCAGATGACCTGACTGAAAATTGTTGGATTGTATACCTGGATTATTGAGCATGGACTTTGTTGACTAGAAAGCATAGTTTCCTCAGACAATAGGGATAGTTAGTTTACATACTTTTTTTCTTCTTTCAGTTTTTCCTTCTTCAGGGGTCTCCACATTGAGTCATCCTCCTCCATCTCACTCTGTCCTTTTCTTTCTCTGTCCTCACTCCAACTACCTCCATGTCCTCTCTAACTGCATCCATGTATATCTTCTTTGTCTGTTTCCTGGCAGCTGCATTTCTAACATCTTTCTACCAGTATACCCACTGTCCCTCCTCTGGACATGTCCAAACCATCTCAGTCTGGTCTCTCTAAATTTATCTCCCAGTTGTTCAACCTGTGCTGTACCTCTGATGATCTCATTCCTAATCTAATCCATCCTTGTCACTCCTAAGGAGAACCTCAACATCTTCATTTCTGCCACTTCCAGTTCTTTCTCATGTCTTTTTGTCCATGTCTCTGCCTCCAGACTATATAACATAGCTGGTCTCACCACTGTCTTGTAAACTTTTTTCCATCCACTCCATCCTGCCTGGACTCTCTTGTTCACCTCTTTACCACACTCCCCATTTTCCTGGACAGTGGACCCCAAGTCCTTGAAGTCCTGCACCTTTGTGACCTCTGCTCCTTGTAGCCTCACTGTTCCACCAGCCTCCCTCTCATTCACACACATGTACTCTGTCTTACTACGGCTGACTTTAATTCCTCTTCTTTCAAGTGCATACCTCCACCTCTCCAAGTTCTCTTCCACCTGTTCCCTGTTCTCACCACAGATCACGTCATCTGCAAACATCTTAGTCCACGAGGATTCCTGCCTGACCTCATCTGTTATTTGGTTGACACACTGAGCCAAAATGAATGTTATGTGTTGTTTAACTGTTACGGTGGAACAGGTGTTCAGATTTGTCCTACCCTTCAGGTAACTGCACGAGAGGTGTGGTCACACGTTACTTAGCTGATCCAAGTCATGGCACCAGGTGCTGGGTTAGTAGTTTTTTGTAAACTTTTCTGTTGACCGTCACCTTTTTGATCATCAGCTTTATCATAATTTTTCAGTAATAATTACAAGTGATGTAAATCAATACAGGTGCTGTTTGATGGATGCCAAAAGTCAATTGTGTTAGTTTTAAAATAAATAACCGAAACACAAGTTGAACTCAGCCTGGCTCATTGGAGACGCATCACAGAACAAAACCCACTCAGCCAGCAGCAGCTTTATTTTGTGGATCGGTCACTACACATATTAAATAGTAGATAGTAGTAAATATTAAACGGCTGCCATCTTGGATTTTGACAGGGCAATCCAGTTTTTATAGTGACCTTTCACACGCGTAGATACAGCCATACACCAAAATGAAAGTTAGTACCTCACTTGTGCTGGTGAAGATTTTCAGTCATCCAGGACATGATGAATTCAAAAAGCGTTCAATACAAAAACAACTGGACTTTATTTGTAACAGAAGACGTTTCGCTCCTCATCCGAGGAGCTTTCTCAATTCAAAGAGCAGAGAGTGAGAGATACAGGTTATAAGGCTGAGTGAGATAAGACACACACACACATATGTAGATTGGCAATTCACACCTTAACACCTTAACATTAAGAGTCTTTTGTTCCTCTAATTCACAGACGAGGCGCCTCTGTTCCCATCAGGTGTGAAAACCGGCTGGGAATCTGTTTTAAAGTTGCATTATAGGTTTTTGAAAGTGGAAATCTGAGGCCTCCTCCTCTGTTAAGAGACGGCTTTTCTCTTTTTACATAAATTGCTTCCTTCACCCCCCTCTCAAACCATCTGTGTTCTCGGTCCAAAATGTGCACATTTTGGTCCTCAAAAGAGTGTCCCTTATCTGTGAGGTGGAGGTGAACAGCTGAATTTTGTCCAGAGGAAGTGGCTCTCCTGTGTTGAGCCATGCGTCTGTGAAGAGGCTGTTTAGTTTCTCCAATGTAGAGCTCTGGACAGTCCTCGCTGCACTGGACCGCATACACTACACCACTCTGTGTATGGGTGTTTTGTCTTTAGGGTGGACCAGCCTCTGTCTGAGAGTCCTGCTGGGTTTGAAATGTACTGGGATCTTGTGTTTGTTGAAGATCCTTCTGAATTTCTCTGATACTCCAGCAACATAAGGGATGACAATGTTTTTACGTCTGCTGTTCTCCTTTTTCAGTTTATTGGTGTGTTTTGTAGATTTCCTCACTGACTTGACAAAAGCCCAGTTAGGATATCCACATGTTGTACCTCACTTAGTTTTTCAAATGATCATGCTCACAACATGCATGGATGGAAGGTATTTTCAATTCATCCTTTTTGTTTTGTGATGGGGGACAAAAAGGAATAACCATGGCATGTGACAAAACAAGGAAGGCTAAAAAAAGAAAATAACTAGGAATTTTAAAAACAGATAAGCAACCCGTAGTCCACAAAGTTACATCCAGTGAAACTTTTTTTATACAGAGGTGAATAACAAACTCTTTATTGAAGAGGAAAAAGTATATATCTGAAAATAACCTGAAAACTGTAACCATCAATAATTGATTTTTACAAATATTCTTTCTGCAGAGTTAAAAAATGAAAAGAGAAATGTGTGTAGATTGTGCTTGTGGGAATAGAAACAAAGTGGTAAATAATTTCCTCTCCTTATGGTTTTCACTTATTTGATGGTGATACAAAGTAATTAACAGAGGAATACCAAACCTTCTAACTCTACTCTAAAGCCTTTAGGTGTTACTTTATCCATCCATCCATCCATCCACCCATCCATCCACCCATCCATCCATCCACTCATCCATCCATCCATCCATCCATCCATCCACCCATCCACCCATCCATCAGCTTCTTCCTTTTTGGGTAGTGGAGGTCACTGGTGCCCATATCCAGAAGTCACTGTGCAAGAGGTGGGGGACACCCTGGACAGGTCTCCAGTCCATCACAGGGACACATAGAGACAAATGAGACAAACAACCATTCACTCTCTCACTCACACCTAGGGACAATTTAGAGTTACCAATCAGTCTAACATGCATGTTTTTGGTCTGTGGGAGGAAACCGGAGTACCCGGAGAAAACTCACGCATACACGGAGAGAACACGCAAACTTTCCTGCACTCCATCCAGAAAGGCCCTCCGCCAGGATTTAATCTGGTGACCTTCTCACTGAGAGGCAACTGTTATACCAACTGAGCCACCGTGCTGCCCTGTTATTTTCAAAATTCATTGTTCATCAATGACAACAAGCTGTCCTGGCCCAGATGAAGCAAAGCAAGTCCAAACCACGATACTACCACCACCATGTTTCACAGATGGGATAAGGTTATTTTGCAGGAATGCAGAGTTCTCATTTCTCCAAACATAACACTTTTCATTCAAACCATAAAGTTTTATTTTGGTCTCATCCGCTCACAAAACATTCAACAGTCTTCTGGCTTGTCCACGTGATCGTTATCAAACTGCAGACGAGCAACAATGTTCTTCTTGGAGAGCAGTGTTTTCCTCCTTCAACCCTGCCATGAACCATAGTTGTTCAGTGTTCTCCTGATGGTGGACTCATGAACATCAACATTAAGGTGAGAGAGACCTTTATTGGTTAGACGTTACCCTGGGGTCCTTTGTAACCTTGCCCATTATTCCACACTTGCTCTGGGAGTGATATTTGTTGGTTGACCACTCCTGGGGAGGGTAACAATGGTCTTGAATTTCCTCCATTTGTACACAATCTGTCTGACTGTGGATTGGTGGAGTCTGTTAAAGACGGGAGCTGGCTGCGGGCCACTGGATCCGGAAACCCCCTCCAGCCCACGTCTTTACCCCCGGCTCAAACCTTCCTCAGAAGTGGCAACTATACTAATCAATAAATCAAGGAAACGTCAATTAAGTTTTATCAAATTATATTAGAAAAGGCAGTGAAAGATTACAATTCACAGCGCTGGACTCTACAGTCTGTGACGCCACAGACCTGGAAGAAGAGCCCCAATGTCTCGTGTCATTATTAATTTATAGGGCCCTAGACTCCGCCTTTCGCAGAAGGGAGAGCTCAACCTGTCAGTGTATGAGGGGGCGTGGCTAAGTGTGATCTCAGGGCTCTTTTGTGGACTGACGTGTTAGGAAATATGAGACGGTGCTCCAAAGCCTTTCTGTGTGATGTGGCAAGCAGATTAAACTCTATTCCGTGACAGATATTGAATCATCAGGGAGACTCTCTTAAGAGTTTGCTGGCCCAGTTTAACCCAATCAGAACCGGGTCATAATTTCATTATAATCCCGTCTCTAAGCAGATCAAAATCATAAGACCAGTCTAGATTGAAAATATCTCAACAAGTCCAAACTCTTTAAAAATGCTTTGTAACATTTTCCAGCCTGATGAGCATCAACAACTTTTTTTCTGAGCTCCTCAGAAACCTCCTTTGTTCTTGACATGATCCACTTCCACAAACATGTTGTGAAGATCAGATTTTGATAGATCTGTTCTTTAAATCAAACAGGGTGTCCACTCACACCTGATCATCATCCATTGATTGAAAACACCTGAATCTAACTTCACCTTCAAATTAACTGCTAATCCTAAATACTTTTACCACACACAAATATATAATATTGGATCATTTTCCTCAATAAATAAATGACCAAGTATAATATATTTGTCTCATTTGTTTAACTGGGTTCTCTTTATATACTTTTAGGACTTGTGTGAAAATCTGATGATGTTTTAGATCAAATTTATGCAGAAATATAGAAAATTCTAGAGTTCAACTTTCAAGTACCACTGTATGTATTGCCTTGTATCAAATTATAATCACCTAATAAGATCAGCACTTTGTGAAAAAAAAAAAAAAAAAAGAACCTTGCACGTAGCCATAAATTAACACCCACTGCAATTGTTTTAGTATGTGCTGCACTACTGGACTGAAATCAACCAAACAATTTAAACTGATACAAAACATGAACTATGTTAATGTTCAAATGCTGCTGCTTCCTTGTGGTTCCTAGAGTTTCCAAAAGCAGAATGGGAAGATGATCTTTCAGTTATCAGGCTCCTCTCTTCTGTCCATAAGACTGAAACATTGTCCAGTTTTAAGACTGGACTCAAGATTTTCTTTTTGGATAAATCCTATAGTTAGGGATGGCTTGTTATGCTGCTATAGGCTTAGACTACTAGAGGACAAATTGACCTGATGTCCCTAAATGATTTGTTAAAATTGAATACTTTTCATTTGATATTATTTCTATATTAACATGTGAATCTTGACCTGCCATTGTGTATCTGTTCCTCCTTCCTGTTCCTCTCAAACCCAGCCGGTCGAAGCAGATGGTCGCTTGTCCTGACCTGGTTCTGCTAAAGGTTTCTTCCTCATGAGGGAGTTTTTTTCTTTCCACTGTCGCATTCATACTTGCTCAAGATGAGAGTTCTGTGATGGAGTTAACTCAAAGCAGTCTGCTCCTCAGATAAATAATGTTAAATTACTATTTTTATATATTTGTATATGAATGTTTTTTATAAGGAAGTGGTGGCGAAGAGGTTAGAGAAGGTGGGCTTGTGAATGGAAGATCGCCGGTTCAACTCCCAGTACTGACAACATAAAAAATGTGGGTGTGATAGGTGAAGCACCCATACCTGCCCCCATCCTCAATTGCACCACTCTGGGCCCATGAGCAAGGCTCTCTGCTCCACACAGAGGGCTGTGGTAGCTCGGTGGTCTGTAATTGCCTCAGGAAGGGCATCCAGCGTAAAAATAATTGCCAAATCTTTGTGCAACTTAGTTCACTGTGGCGACCATAGATATCATATAAAAGCTAGATCCTGCTTTGACCGCTATCGCCTATTGGTGCTGACGAGCTGTAGAGCCGCCGTCATCGATACGTTTTTATTAATGTTTTATATATATATATATATACACACACACACACACACGCACACACACAGACGCACACACACACACACACACACACACACACAGACACACAGGCAGCCCGGTGACACAAATGGTAAAGCTGCTGCCTCTCAGCGAGGTCCAAATCCCGGTCCGGGGGCCTTTCTGGCTTGAGTTTTCATGTTCTCTCCGTGCATGTGTGGGTTTTCTCCGGGTACTCCAGTTTCCTCCCACAGACCAAAAACATGCATGTTACCGACTGTTTGGTAACTCTAAATTGTCTCTAGGTGTGAGTGAGAGAGTGAATGGTTGTTTGTCTCGTTTGTCTCTATGTGTCCCTGTGATGGACTTGTGACCCGTCCAGGGTGTACCCCGCTCCTCGCACAGTGATTGCTGGACACACTGGCGACCCCTGTGACCCAAAATGGAAGAAGCAGGAAAAAGATAATGGATGGATGGATATATACACACACAGACATATCTCTTTTATATATACATATATTCAACCTTTATTGATACAGGTTAGTCCCAATGAGCCAATAGGACTCATTTACAAGAGAGACCTGGATTTTAACAAAGAATGATGACAACAGTGGATAACAAACTGTTTTTCAGTTGTAAAACAAACAAACAAACAAAAACTTAAATTTGTATGAATCATTTGTGAATTTTTATTGTTGTCATTGTTATCACTGTCTTATTATCTTGTGCTCTGGGCCAGTGTCTTCATGGACGATGTGTGTGAGGGTGGACATGTTTGGAGGTTGCTGTGTTGAAGCTCCATGAATCAGCCTCTCTGCAGCTCTCAGCACCTTCACTGAGCCTTGAGGGAATCACTGAGCTGCTCTTGTTCTTCACAGTTAGAAGGTGGGAGCTCTCGTCAAATGATGATCTCCAGCATCCTCTTGTTCATGCCAGGCTCTTCATCCACTGACCACACACACCTGGAAACATCAGGGGGACCAGCAGCTGTTTAACACATCTGGAAGGAAACCAGTGAGATTTTAATATGACCATGACCATTATGATATGATGTTATGTGAGGGAGTGGTGGAGCAGAGGTTAGAAGATGGGCCTGTGACGGGTCTGTGATGGGAAAGTCGCAGGTTCAACTCCCGGTACTGTCAACATCAAAATGTGGGTGGAAAAGGTGGAACACCCACACCTGCCTCCACCCTCATTGGCCCCACTCTGGGCCCCTGAGCAAGGCCCTTAACCCCCACCATCTGCTCCTAAACAGGTCTCTCTAGAAAATGAGTTCTCGTGACTCAGTGAGACTACCTGGATAAATAAAGTGTAAATGAAAAAATAAAAGTTTAAAATAGAAATACTCACATCATGAGGCCGAGTTGTGTGTGTGACGTGCACGTTCCTGAGAGGCCACAGACAGAGCAGCTCCAGCTTTTGTTGAGTTCCTGTAGTCCTGCAGTTTTCAAGCTGAAATGAAAAACCATTATGAATATGAACTTTACAGTCTCTAGTTACCTGTTCATATAAACACATGGAGGTGTCTCACCTTGTGACTGACAATAAAATATGTAACTTTATGAACTCTAATGAACTTATAATGATGCTCCTACTCTCTGAAGGTGAACCGATGGTACCACACCATCTCTCAGTCGGACAGTCTGATCAGTTTGATCAAAATCCTCCAGTTTAAAATCCTCACTGCTCAGATGAATCCTCCTCAAAGATACTTCCTCCTCTTCCTCCCATCTTGTTCTTTGGGAAACCTTCAAAATGAAAACACGAGATTTGTGTCTACACAAAAACATTGTACAGAGGAGGTCAATCTTATTTTCTAACAACTTCCTACATTCTCCCTATTTTTAATTTTTTAATTTCTTAGAATTTAAACAAAACAACAATTTTGATGCATATCTGTTGATAATGAACCAATGCTACTGAAATTGTGAGTATGCTTGTTAAAAAAAATGTTTCTGTCATCAGATCTCATTAGCTTCATTACACTGAACATCACATCAGCTGGTGGACATAAATACAGTACAGTAATATTTTATTCACAAAATACTAACAATAATATGTTCATCTTACTTGTGAAAAGTTATCCCCCGAGACCTGACGTCAACAGTCCGTCGATTAGAACAGAAATAAGCTGCGAAGTGTTGAAACATCTGCTTTAACCAAATAAGGACGACCGCTCCAAGATGGCGGCCGTATTTCCTGCGCCGCTGTAGCCAATGAGGGATCTAGTGTTTATATATCTATGGTGGCGACCCCTAACGCAGGGAGCAGTAGAAAGAAGAAGAAAAAATGTTTCTGTTCAGTGCCCTGAGATGACTTGTGTTGTGACTTGGCGCATATAAATTGAATTGAATTGAAAAGTGTGACTTTAGAGTTTGCAATGAAATAAAAGGAAAAGTTAATGGGGAAAATCTTTGCTCTTTTCCACATTTTAATTTACATACCATTCCAACTTTTTGACTCAGGATGTAAACTGCATTGTACAAACAATTAAAATTCTTCAGTCAGCTGAAGTTAAGAGCCAGTCAATCAATCAGAGCCTGCGATTGTCGATCCTGAACAGCCTTGCTTGTGTCTCACCTTGGTGTCTGGAGCATTTCTTATCGGTGACCCCTGTGTCTGGACTCCGGCCCAGAATCACAGCTCGTCCATCCTCCAGAGGGATCAGGGTCCCAGAAACGCCAACCAGCGAGCAGGACATTCAAACAACTCCTTCAGTGCCTTCAATGACTATTTCACAAAGTAAACATGCTCAGTTTTTGCGCTCACAGTTAAGGTAAGGCTACGTCTGTTTTAAATGTGCAACTTTAACAATTAAAAGTTGAATTTGTGCAAACTGTCTTCGTTTTTAGTCCGATAACAAACTATAAACATGAACTGTTAGTTTAATCTCACACTAACCGAAGGAAGTTTGCTGCAGAGGTTGTGATGCCGCCGGTTGCGGTCCGTCGACAAAACAGGCTCGTTCAGAAACAGTTCCCCTCCCTTACAGTCCGCAAAAACTTCCGACTCGAGTGATACGGAAAAGGTGAGTTAACACTTTGAGGTCGTTATTGACTCTTGTAGAAAACTGTATTTATTCGGTTATAGCTGTTCTGTTAAGTGTATTAACCTACAGTGTTAAGTAAATCTTATAATTAGACACTGCGCCGTTCTTTTCTTGGCCCCTTTTTATTTTGTCCCCTTACATCACCGCAGTCCCGTAAAGTTTCTTACCTTCACATGTAACCTATTGTTATAATACCCACTGTAAATTATAAAACCGTTGTATTTTTGAACATTGGACTTTTAGGTGGGTGTCTTCAACTGCGGTAAAGCCTTCCACGGACCCTACTCAAATCCAGAGTGCTCGATGACATCAACTTTACGACTGGGGCGGTGTCTTTACATCTGGGCAGAATTTGCGCATGCGCTGTTGTGTTTGGCCCTCGCAAATAATGTAAAAAAAAAAAAAAATTCGCCTAGATTTTCTTAATTTGATTCCATCCATCCATCCATCCATCCATTATCTTTACCCGTTTATTCCATTTTTGGGTCACGGGGGTCGCCGGTGCCCATGTCCAGCAATCACTGTGCGAGGGGCGGGGTACACCCTGGACGGGTCGCAAGTCCATCACAGGGCCACATAGAGACAAACGAGACAAACAATCATTCACTCTCTCACTCACACCTAGGGACAATTTAGAGTTACCAATCAGCCTAACATGCATGTTTTTGGTCTGTGGGAGGAAACCGGAGTACCCAGAGAAAACCCACGCATGCACGGAGAGAACATGCAAACTCCACCCAGAAAGGCCCCTGTACTGGGGTTTGAACCAGGGACCTGCTCGCTGAGAGGCAGCAGCTCTACCAGTTGCGCCACCGTGCTGCCTAATTTGATTCCACACATTTTAAGTATGTTTCTCATCAAGTTTGTGGAAATTCAGTTTGACTTACAGACATTTCAACTTCAATGCACTTTAACACACAGCCTCAGGTCGGCACTACGTTTATAGACAAATTAAATATTGAAAACGATACCACTAGACTTTTTACTTATGTTGAACACTACTGCATGCCTGCACTACATCAAGTTCAACAATAATAATATGTTATGTATTGTCATCATTGTATGTTCCCATACAATGGCGAAATTGGCTCTCTGCATTTAACCCATCCACCCACAGGTGGAGCAGTGGGCAGCTATTGAAGGCTGCCCAGGGCGCAATTGTGGATAGGGTGTCCTACTCAGACACCATGAGATGTGCAATGACTGGGGATTGAGCCTGGGACTTTCGGGTCCCGAGTCAGCTGCGCTGCCTCTACCCCATCTCAGCCCAAGTTCAAGTAGGTTTATTGTCATTCTCATTTAGTACTTTGTACATGACGTGGAATGAAATTATGTACACAGGGTTCCAGTTACACCCAACAATAGCAAAAATATAAAGTGTAAAAAGAAATGGTATTTAAGGATCTTAGATATACACTGAACAAATGCCAAACGGCACGCCAAAAGATCTAAGATATACGCTAAACACTAATAATGCAAAACAATATGGAATAACAACAGCAGCCTGAACATGAGTCTGTGGTGAGCAGATGGGTGCAAATGAACACAGCAGCATGAGATCATCAGCAGCATGAGATCAGCAGCATGGATAATCAGCATCACAGATAAGTTGCATATCACCAATTAAAGTGGCATTAAAGTGATGTTTTTACACAGTGATTATTCTGGTTAGAGATTCATGAGTCTAACAGCCTCAGGGTAGAAGCTTTTCCTCAGTCTAGTGGTTCTACACTTAATGCTCCTTAACCTCCTTCTTGAGGGGAGCGGGGCAAAAAGTGAGTGTGCTGGGTGAGTGGGGTCCTTCATGATGCAGATGGCCCTCTTCCTGCATCTGGAGGTGTAGATGTCTGTGATGGTGGAGAGACTGATCCCAACAGTGCCTTCACCGCAGAGCTTCCCTTTCTGCAGCTGTGCAGCCTTCACCATTCTCTGCAAAGCTTTTCTTTCTGCAGCTGTGCAGCCTCCATGCCACACGTTGATGCTGGAGCACAGGATGCTCTCCACTGCACACCTGTAGAAGGAGGTGAGGAGTGAGCTTCCCAGACCAGCTCTTCTCAGCCACCTGAGGAAGTAGAGTCTCTGATGAGCTTTCTTGATCAGGCTGGTGGTGTTGTTGCCCCAGCTGAGTTGGTTATTCAGGTGCACCCAAGTACTTGTAGCTGGAGATCACTTCTACCGCAGATCCTCCTATGTTCAGGTGGTGGTAGGTGTGTTTGCTCCATCTTTTTCATCATCTCCATTTTTTTTTATTTTATTTTGGGAGCTTGACAGTGCTCGGACTGAATGTGGAGCTGTGACAGGGAATTGGAGCAGCTGTTATCAGGACTGTGTTCTCCCTGGCAGCACTCATGAATGGTGGAATAATCTGGAGAAGCTGTGAGCTCGACTTTTGGAGTAAAGGATCAATTCGGCTGTTTTGGAGTTTCCATCAGAGAATATATACCAGCGAGACTTTAAAGGTAGAAACAACAATTCACGAGTTCTGCCTGACCCAAACTGTGGCCTTGATGTCGGACTTATCTCAACTCCTGGAATGTTTTGAAAACAACAAAGATGCTTTGACTGTTTCCTCACCCCTCCCTTCCCCAAGGCCGTGGACATGTAACAGAACCTCAACTGAGCTGAAGATGAACGTCACCTCTTATCTGGACAATGGCTGAGGGGGCTCTCTGGACTATGCTACGACTTTCCCTTAAAAATTCAATGTTTTCACCGCCAATATGTAAATCTATAACGTCTGTTTATGTTGCTTTGCTGTGGTAGTTTTTTTTGATGCCTCAAATTGTGCCCTGTCTAGGACACGGTGTGAGAGATCTTTTTTTTATACCGTCTCTCCTCATGTTTTCTTCCTTTTCTTATCCAAGCAAAATATTATTCTGAATAAGAATGCCGCGCTAATTATTTTAGCCGCAGCTTCGTGCACTCCGCCCATCTTCGGACGACTGTACGTACATATTCGCGTTGTATCTCAGTGCAATGCCAATAAAGTTTATTCTGATTCTGATTCTGATCTGAAATCCACGACCATCTCCTTCATCTTCTTCACATTGATGTGAAGGTTGTTCTTCCTGCACCAGCTCTCCAGGTGTTCCGCCTCCTGCCTGTAACTGGACTCATCGTTGTTTGTGATTCATCCAACCACCACTGTATCGTTTGCAAACTTTACAATATGACAGCCTGGATGGGTAGGTGCGCAGTTATATGTGAGCAGAGTGAACAGGAGGGGGCTTAACACACAGCCCTGGGGAGAGCCAGTGCTGAGGGTTATGGTGGAGGAGGAAAAGTTGTGGATCTTCACAGACTATGTTCTGTTGGTTGAGAAGTCCAGGACCCAGTTGGGACATGTGTTTATAGGCAAATTAAATATTGAAAACAACACTACCATTAGACTTTTTTTTTACTTGTGTTGAACACTACTCATCTAAAGGATGTGTCTCACCAAGTTTGAGTCAAAACTTGTTTTTACTTGTGGTGCCGTTTGTTGTGAATCCAGTCCTTAGGAGCACTAAAGCTGTATTTTGACACCTGCATGACAAGAGAGGGTTCTTCTAAAAGTAAATATGTAAGATAAATCTGAGTCCATGCTGATTATAAAAATGAATGCCAATTAATAATTATCTTCATTTTAAAAGTACACTCCAGCAAATTAAATCAAATGTTGGTGCAGGTGCCTCAAAATGAGCAGATGTAGGCAGGAAGATGATGTGCATGGCCAACAATACAGTTTTACAAGCCATACACATGGGTGAAGTATTCTGGTCACTTGATTGCGAGCAGCATTTCTGTTTCTGTTAATTATTGTATTCATTAGTACCCAGTATTTTAAGAAACAGAAGTGCACACATTTCTTTTTTGTTATCCTGAATGTTGAGTCATTTTGTCACTGTCCACAAATATTAGCTAAAGCGCACATGATAAGCAGGTTTTGCATGCAGCCTGTCTCAGGGTGTGTTACACAACTGAAATGTGGACATACAGGTACTGTCTTTTATTCTGCCTTTTAAATGGTTATCCTCTCCAAAATCCTCTTCTCATTATCTCTTTCTCTTAGATGGTCCCTCCCTCCGTCTTTTCTGCTCTGACAGTTTGTTTAAATATGCAGGCCCGCCCTGAACCTACAGGGAGAGGAACGGGTAGGGAGCATTTAAGTTCCTAGGCGTTCGCATTGTAACAGACTTCTCCTAGAACACAAATACAAACTTACAGGTATTGTGTTTTTTAAGGTTGATTTGGTTGTAAAAAGAAAAATGGGAGCAGATAATTGTCTTCGAAGCAGTTCACTGACATGTTTTTGTTTTTACTTGACTGCCACGAGTACCATTAATACTTTTCTCTTTTCTTCCAGGACAAACAGCCATCAAAGAACAACTATCAACATTTTTTGGCAGCTTTCCTGCTCTTCACTTTTCTCTGATATTTCAAGTTTAAACCAGTTACACCATGGCTAACCAACCCATCCAAAACAACCATGAAAATGCCTACATGAGTTTGATGCGAGGTCAGAGACAGCTGGATTTCTGTGGACCTTGTGTACCCAGCGACCTGATTCTGATCGGAGACCATTCCTTCCCTTTAGCCATGAACAGCCACGGTCAGGTTCTGATGGCTGCCTCTCTGTACGGCAGTGGGAGGATTGTTGTCCTGGGTCATGAGGGCTACCTGACTTCTTTTCTTGCTCTGGTGGAGAACGCACTGTTGTGGCTGAGAGGCGACGAATTAGACAAACTTTCTGTAGCTGTGCACAGAAATGTCCAGGCTGTCGCTGACAACCTCAGCAGGTCCATCTTCCAAATAGAAGTGGTGGGATCTTTCAGTAACGATCTTAAAGCTGCTGTGTATGTGACAGATGCATACAGCGTGGGCGCGGACCCAAAGGACCTGGTGGCGTTTCTTAAAGCAGGAGGGGGAGTGCTGATTGCTGGTCAGGCGTGGAGCTGGGCTGCAGATCACCCAAATGAGAACACATTGTTGAATTTTGATGGAAACAAGGTGTCTGGTGTTGCGGGGGTCTACTTCTCTGATCATCCTGCTGAGGTGGAAAACCTTCCTGTCTACCCACAGATCCCATCCTCCTACATGGCTATAGTGTGAGTTTACACTTTATGTTTATTACACATTTAGACATGTCTTTTTTTAATCTTAAAGAAAAAGAAACACCTTAATAAGTTGATTTTACTAGCACTGAAACCTCTAAGACTTAAATTGAGATCCTGAATTTGTAATTTCAGTTTAAAATTTGTGTTGACACAGTCGGGCAGTAGTTAGCTTTGTTGCCTTTCTGAAGGGCACAGGTTCACCTCCCAACCTTTCTGTATGGAGTTTACATGTTCTTCCTGTTTTCTCAGAGAACTCTGGTTTCCTCCCACATATCAAAAACATGCATATCCAGATTAATTAGTAACTCTAAATTATCTCTAAGTGTGAGTGGCAGTGCTAATGGTTGGTTGTCTCTGTGTCCCTGTGATGGACTTGCAACCTGTCCAGGGTGCACTCCACCTCTCGCACAAAGGCTGTCATGGCCTCAGACAGTGGACTTTCTTTATATCTGTGCTGCATTTGATACGAATGATAATATTATGTAATATTGTATTAAAGAGAGTTAAACATGATATTGGGATTACAGGGATGACTTAAACATAATTTAAATCATATTTTTCTTATATGATTTCAGTTTAACTAATTTTCTCCATACAGCAAAGTTAGTCATGGACTTCCTCAGGGTTCAGTGCTTGGACTGTTTATTTTATATATGCTTTCATTGATAACATTATTAAACAGCATGGGATACATTTTCATTGTTATGCTGATTGACCCTCCATTATATTTATGCATGAAACCTGATCAATCCAATCAATTACTGATTACCAACTTGTCTTAGAACATTAAAACCCGGGTGACTTAATTGTCTGCTTTTGAACTCAGACAAGACAGAGATTGTGGTTTGTGGACATGAGCACCTTAGGTAAAAACTTTGCTATCTCTCACTTCCTCTGGATGGCATCAATTTGGCCTCCAGTTAATGTAAAACAAAAAAACTTGGTGTTATTTTGATCAGGATTAACCATCCATCCATCCATCCATCCATTTTCTTTACCCGCTTATTCCATTTTGGGTCACGGGGGTTGCTGGTGCCCATGTCCAGCAATCACTGTGCGAGGGGCGGGGTACACCCTGGACGGGTCGCAAGTCCATCACAGGGCCACATAGAGACAAATGAGACAAACAAACATTCACTCTCTCACTCACACCTAGGGACAATTTAGAGTTACCAATCAGCCTAACATGCATGTTTTTGGACTGTGGGAGGAAACCGGAGTACCCGGAGAAAACCCATGCATGCACGGAGAGAACATGCAAACTCCACCCAGAAGGCCCCTGGACCGGGGTTTGAACCAAGGACCTGCTCACTGAGAGGCAGCAGCTCTACCAGTTGCGCCACCGTGCTGCCCCATCAGGATTAACCCCCACACTAAAAATGTTACCACTTTCTTCCACCTGCAAAATATTACCAAATATAATTTTCCCTTTTCTTGCAGAGCCAACTTATAATTTCTGTCTGTGATTTATAACAACTTATCTACTTTTGACTAGTCATAGAATTTTAAATTTTGATAAATCCAATAGTTAGTGTTGGCTTGGGTATCCCTTGTTATGAGGTTAGAGGCTTAAGTTGGATTTATACTTGACCAAGTGAAGAAATCTGACTTGTTGGTGTAGATTTGTAACAAAAATCACATCTTTTGTTCTTACATGAACTCGAAGACCCAGTTCTTGACACAAGGTCTGGGCAGAACTTTTCTCTTGGAGGTATTCATCAACTATTGTGTGATTCATCAGAATTTTGTTGCTGACTTGTTTGTGTGAAAAGCAACAGTCATTTTGCTTCAGCTGCTCTGTTGAGGAGCTGCTTGCCGAGGCTGTTAGGAAGTAGTTCTCTTTACAATTGCTCCAGTAAAACATCTAAAAGGCTCTTTCACAAGAACACATCTCAGTCCCAGACTGAGATGTGTTTTGGTCGCCTCGGTGTGTCTTCCGAGTGGACCTTATTTTATTCAAAATCAATTTCAAAAAAAGATTTTATAAAAAAAAAAAAAAAAAAACATGAAATTTGAAAACTGTAAAATACTGTGGAAAATAAATACAATTAAAATAAGGCATTTCTAAATTGTTCCAATAGAAGAACACTTAAGAAAATGTGTGCAACATTTGCACTTTGATCAAGACACATTTCTCTGCACATCTGTCAAGGAAGGTCTGACCCTTTTCTGAATAAGACAATTTACAATATTTCACTTCAAGAAACACAAATTAAATTGCACAACTGTCTTGTAAAGTTTTACCCTTTTTAATATATGTGACTCTACATTGTTTAAACAAGAAATGCAGATTAAACAACTGATCACTGAAAAAAATCTGTTTATTACTGTTGCACTTTGAACATGAAACAAATGTAACTACACAACTGTCATGTCATTTACTATTGAACTTCAAACAAGAATCAAACAACTGAACACTTTTTCAAAACTTTACCAAATGTTTAGCCACAAATATGTCGTCTTAAGCAGCTAAACGTCAAAACAGTTAGCGTCTTATAGTATTGATTCCTAGTAACCTTATCCCTCAACAGGCTACAGCGTACATAACATAAGAACTTTCATGTGTCAAGAGATGACACAGCTGCATACTTTTTTATGTTTTGCTGATTTCTCCTCGTCTTCTTTTCTTTTTGTCCCACCCAGCCAAGATCCAGTGTTTTTGTGAATGCAGAGACTTGATTTGGTGGATCCGTTAGAGTATCTTGGTGTTTCTTTGACTCAAATCTTACATTTAGGCATTTATCTTACATTTATTAAGAAGACTACAGATGTGATCAAATTTAACTCGTCAAACTTTTGTCAATTAGACATTTTCTCACATATGCAAAAAAATTTTTTTCTTTTATTGTCTTTTGAGCTGATTGGAGATGACAGCAAGTGTGAGAAAACGTAGTCTCTCTTTAAAAAAGTCAATGTTTTAGACAGACAACTTTTCATGTTCACTATTGTAATGACATTAGTAAGTATAAGATCTTAGACTTGGAAAATTATCAAAAGTTCAGTGATCTAAGTCTTGTAAATGGCTTGTTCCTCCACCACTAACGTACAAACCGGATTCCAAAAAAGTTGGGACACTAAACAAATTGTCAATAAAAACTGAATGCAGTGATGTGGAGGTGCCAACATCTAATATTTTATTCAGAATAGAACACAAATCACAGATCAAAAGTTTAAACTGAGAGAATGTATCATTTTAAGGGAAAAATCAGTTGTTTCCAAATTTCATGGCGTCAACAAATCCCAAAAAAGTTGGGACAAGTCCATTTTTATCACTGTGTGACATCATCCCCCCTTCTTCTTCCAACACTCAACAGACGTCTGGGGACAGAGGAGACCAGTTTCTCAAGTTTAGAAATAGGAATGCTCTCCCATTCATGTCTAATACAGGCCTCTAACTGTTCAATCGTCTTGGGCCTTCTTTGTCGCACCTTCCTCTTTAAGATGCGCCAAATGTTCTCTATAGGTGAAAGATCTGGACTGCAGGCTGGCCATTTCAGTACCCGTATCCTTCTCCTACTTAGCCATGATGTTGTGATTGCTGCAGAATGTGGTCTGGCATTATCGTGTTGAAAAATGCAGGGTCTTCCCTGAAAGAGATGACGTCTAGATGGGAGCATACGTTGTTCTAGAACCTGAACATCGTTCTCTGCATTAATGGTGCCTTTCCAGACATGCAAGCTGCCCATGCCACAAGTGCTCATGCAACCCCATACCATCAGTGATGCAGGCTTCTGAACGGAGCGTTGATAACAACTTGGGCTATCCTTGTCCTCTCTGGTCTGGATGACATGGCGTCCCAGTGTTCCATAAAGAACTTCAAATCGTGACTCATCTGACCACAGAACAGTCTTCCATTTTGCCACACTCCATTTTAAATGACCCCTGGCCCAGTGCAAACGTCTGAGCTTGTGGAGCTTGCTTAGAAATGGCTTCCTCTTTGCACTGTAGAGTTTCAGCTGGCAACGGCGGATGGCACAGTGGATTGTGTTCACTGACAATGCTTTCTGGAAGTATTCCTGAGCCCATTCTGTTATTTCCTTGACAGTGGCATTCCTGTTTGAGGTGCAGTGATGTTTAAGGGCCCGGAGATCACGAGCATCCAGTAGAGTTTTACGGCCTTGACCCTTACGCACAATGATTGTTCCAGATTCTCTGAATCTTTTGATGATGTTATGCACGGTTGATGATGATAACTTAAAAGTCTTTGCTATTTTACGCTGGGTAACACCATTCTGGTATTGCTGCACTATCTTTCTGCGCAACAATGGTAGAATTGGTGATCTTCTTACCATCTTGGCTTCTGAGAGACACTGACACTCTGAGAAGCTCTTTTTATACCCAATCATGTTGTCAATTGACCTAATTAGTGTTAATTGGTCTTCCAGCTCTTCATTATATGCTCAATTTCCTTTTTCCAGCCACTTATTGCTACTTGTCCCAACTTTTTTGAGATTTGTTGACACTGTGAAATTTTGAATCAACATATTTTTCCTTTAAAATGTTACATTTACTCAGATTAAACTTTTGATCTGTCATCTATGTTATATTACGAATAAAATATTGACATTTGCCATCTCCACATCATTGCATTCAGTTTTTATTCACAATTTGTTTAGTGTCCCAACTTTTTTGGAATCTGGTTTGTACAAAACCAGACTAAACACCAGACCTCAAACTAGAGGGGACTGTGTCATAGCAAGATGGAGCAAAGTGGCATCAGTTAGGAGAACACATTTATGGAATGAACTAGCAGAAAATATCAGACTTTGACAGTTATTCAGTTTTTAAACAGAAATTTAAAATTTGTCTTAAAGAAAACTATCCTTTTTCTTTTATTTTTCTTTGTTGAAATCAGGTCTCTCTTGTAAATGAATCCTCAAGGCTCAATTGGATTAACATGTCTAAATAAAGGTTGAATGAATTTTAACTGTTCAAGTTTATTGTCATTTCACCACATGTGGTACATGTGGTGGAATGACATTATGTACGCAGGGTCCCAGTTACATCTAACGAAGTGTAAAACGAAAGTAAATAAGGATCTAAGATATAACTTATAGACTTATGTGTAACTTAAAGAGTGTGATGTTTGTGTGTTTTACTTTATGGATTGTTTCAATCAATTATTTGTTTTGTGCACTGGTTTTATGAACTGTTTCTATTTATTTATTTATTTAATCTGCCCAGCACAACAGATGAAATGTAGCTATTGTGCTGGTGCATTGATATTATTGGAATATTGATTAATATGCGCTGTAGTTTAAAATAAATAAATGAGTATGAAAATCAATTGAAAAGTAAAATGATATATACATTGTTTTTCTTTGTCTTCTATTTATCATTTTGCTCCTTCCCCTCCTCCTTTCTTAAATACAGAACTGGTAAGGATTTCGAGGATGACTTGCAGTTTTTGCTCCAGGGGATATCAGAGTTTAACCTTCCAAATGGACTAACTGCCTCCGAGGTTTTGGTCCACGGCTCACTTGCCTTCCCAATTGGCACCACAGGGAAAGGACAGGCGTTCCTGGCAGGAGCCTACTATGGCCAGGGCCGGGTCATCGTGGTTACGCATGAAGGCCTTCTGTGGAATGAGGTGAAGCTTGTGTGCATAATGGGGTTTCAACATAACACAAAATAATGTTTTAGAAATAAAATGTTGCTAATTTCTTGTCTGTCTGTCTGTCTATCTAGATACAGATATAGATCTGTCTGTGTGTCTGTTTGTCAAATTTAAGGCAGTAAATATGAGAAGTCTTACATTTTTATTATGCAGCTGTAGAAGGAGAACATATTATGTTACCGCCCATCTACAAACTTTCTCCTGACCCGCCCATAACTTCTGATACACTCAAGAAAATTTAGTCAAACTTGATATAAATCTGTGTCATCACTAGTCGGGGTGTAGTGTACACTTTTCAGCCTCCCAGCTCTAAGGTCAATACAAGGTATTTGCTTGTCAAGACCATTGCTATAGATTGCTGTATAATAATTTTGTCAACGGGTGTATAATGTGGTCATTGTGGCACTTGTGTTATTTATCAAAAACATTTTTTTTTGTCTCTTTTGCTATTTACTGTTTTTAACCCAGGAACTGGCTCAGTTTTGGACCAATGCCATTCACTGGCTGGACGAAGGTCGCAGGGGAGTTGTTGGTGTAGCACCGGATAATGCCCTCAACATGCTCTCCAGGTCAGGTCTGAGGTGTGAGAAATCAGGCTTCAAGAAAGACCTGAGTGTGTTCGTGTGCACGGCATACAGCAGTGACAACCTGGAAGAAATCCAAAACTTTGTAGCGGAGGGTGGAGGTCTTCTGATTGGAGGACATGCTTGGTACTGGGCACAGACCCATCTTGGGCAAAACACACTAACTGAGTTCTCAGGTATGATAACAAGAAATAACTATTGCCACGTCATTATGCAAAGCAGTCATATTCCTATGGGTTTTGTATACGTATATGCTTTACTGCCCAAATGAAAACAAACAACTGTAATCCTTTTGAAATGAACAGAAAGACAATTTTTAAGACAAGGATTACCACTAGGAAGTCATTAGCTTGACAAAAATAGAATAGGTTGCCAAATGCTAAATTGATTTGACCTAATTAACAAAATTCGACAAGATCATCAACTTACGGAACAGTTTGCAGATTTTAGTGCAGTATGCAGCTTATGTTAGGTGGAATCACTCTGTCTGGGTTTTTGGAGACACCAGATCTTACCACTGGATTCTGTTACCCAGCAAAAACACAGAGAGTTCGAGGTTTGAGTAGAGGAACTAAGTAGTTTCCACATCCCATAGAAGTGGACAAATATGGTACAGTGTTTAGAGATGATGTTAATACATTTAACCTGAGGTAGAATGCATAGAAGAATAAAAGAATGGATGGATGGACATGTACAATTGCTTAACCTTTGGACTTAACCTAATTCAAAGATGGCCACTACAGCCAACTGACCTTAAAACACAAAACAATTATAATCCACCCATCTTTACAGCTATTAAGCTAAACTATGGTGTGGTAGTATCTGACAGTCATTCACAATACATACTTACATACTTAAAGTGCAAATCATGTGAGATGTTGCAGATTCACAAGATGGAGCATACTGTTATTTTTAAGGATTTTGCTAAATTAACTTTTTTCTTTCTCAACAGAAGAATCTTGGTCTAAAAATCTGGAATGAATGTCGTTAAGACACTTCATGATTCACACTTTATGAAAATGACCTTTTAGCTACAAGAACTTGAAATTATAATTTTTTGGGTGGCATAATTGTACACATCATTATCAAGGACTTTTAACCTACTTTCTGATTTGTTTTCTTTTTATTGAAATTTGCATATCTCTTCTTATACACCACTATTTTGTTGCAATGTCTTTTTACAGGAAACAAAATCCTGAACAAAATGGGTTTGAGCCTGTTGGGGGCAACACTTTCTGGAGGTGTGTACAAAGCTCCTGTTCCCAGCCAGGCCACCAAAGACACCTACCACTTCCGTCACCTCCTACACCGCTTTGCTAGACACGTAACTGTGGGTGAAGAACTCAGCAAACATGAAGAGGAACATCTCAAGAAGCTGGGCACCGACTGCGCCACCTTTTTGAACATGAAAGCTCACGACTGCTGCTCCTACACTCAGGTGGTGGCCACGCTCACCGATGTCTTAAAGAGGACGGGTCTGCCACAGGTGAGCGCACAATATGAAATATACACCTTTACAAACCAAATAAAAAATTGTAAATAAAAGTTGAGAGGTTGTATAAATGTAAATATAAACAGAATGCATTGATTTGCAAAACTCATAAAACTATTCACATTAGAACATATAAACATAAAAACATTTAAACTAAGAAATTTTACAATTAAAAATATAGTAGTCCCTCGTTTATCACGGGTATTAGGGACCACGCCCACCCACGATAAGTGAAAAAGTGCAAAGTAGAAATACAGTAGTCCAAGTTCAAGTAAACTTTGTCATTACCATCTAATGTGGTACATGAGATGGAACAAAATTATATACACAAGTTGTAGTAGTAAGTAGTAGTTTATTTTAGTATTTGTATACAGGTATATTGAGGCATTTTAAATCCTTCCCGCACTCTTTCAATGTTCTAAACTCTTAAACCATCGTCATTTTAACAACATACAGTACTGTGTGTACAAAACTGTACTTACCAGGCTCTGCAGAACAGGGGCAGCTCGGTTCGTTTCGGTCCGACTCTGTTCCGTTTCTGCAGACGTACCCTGCAGCAACCCACAATCAATCAATGTTCTAAAATCTTAATCCTACAAATTTTAACAACATACTTATACTAAATTTTACTTACCAGTGTGTCCCCGCTCAGAGGTCCTGATTGGCCAGTTGAAAGAAGTAAAAGAAAGTCCCGTTAAGCTTCAGATGGATCACCGGATCATCGGCCGTACACATCCTGCTCAGGGCTCGTCGTTGGCTGGTTGAAACAAATTAAAAAAGTCCCGTTAAGCTCCCGACGGATCACCGGATCATCGGCCGAGCGCGTCCTGGTCAGGGCTCATTGTGGGCCGGTTGAAAGGGTTGAAAAAAGTCCTGATGGGCTCCCGATGCATCATTGGACCTTCGGCCATACACGTTTGCTCAGAGGTCCACGTGGGTGGGCTACCAGCTCTCAAGATTCACGATGGGTCAGGAAGTCTGGTTCTGCACTGATCAAATCAAAACTTTACTGTATGTTCGTTTTGGGTTTTTTCACCAGAAGGAAATGGGGCTTCTAGGTGGAGCCCTGTTGCCTTCTGGGAAATGTGGTCAGTATGAGTAGGTATACAGTGGAGCCTTACAGAGAGAAAACTACAAAATGGTGGCACCTGTCCGAAATGTTTTATTTTTTTTGTTAACTTTTTACTGTACAGTACTGTAGCAGTACTGTCCCAATCACGAGTAATATTAATTATTATTTTGTCCAATATTATATATTATGGACTGTACGTTCACAAACCGTGATGGAGTGAGTCGGCGAAAGTCGAACCGCAAAGTAGCGAGGGACTACTGTACAGCTAATTTTAAAGTTTACAGCAGGAACACATCTCAAAAAGGTAGGGACAGAGGCAACAAAAGGCTGTAAAAGTAAATGGTACAAATAAGAAATTGTCAACAGGTCAGTGAGAGGACTAAAAAGATTTTAGAGAGGCTGAATCTTTAAAAAAGAAAATGTGGGCAGATGTTAATCAGTTTTCAAAAAAAAATAAAAAAATAAAATAATAGACCAAAGTCATATTCCTCGTTGGAAAATTGGGAAGATTTTGATCAGTGGTTCCCAATCCCAGTCCTTGAGACCCACTATATCCTGCATGTTGTAGTTGTTTCCCTGTTTTAGGAGGTCAAGTTTTGCTGAAGCCTGGTAATCACTCATTCATTCATTCAAAATGGGTGTGTTTGAGCAGAGAAAAATTCAAAACATGTGGGATAGTGGACTTCCAGGACCAGGACTGGGCACTACTGATTTTGAATATCCCATCAGCTATAGTTTATAATATCAAAAGTTTTCAAGGATCAGCAGAAAAATCGGAGCTCAAAGGACAAGAAAGAAAGGCAATAATGGATACTGTGATCTTGAGATTCTCAGGCAGCTTTGCATTATAATCTCTGCACTGCATGTGCTCAGTGCACTAAAAAGAGATGAACCATCTGGCCTCTTATCAGTGCACAGTTCAAAAACCTGCCTCTCTGATGGTATGGGGGTGCATTAGCATGGGCAGCTTACACATCTGTAAGGCACCATCAATGCTCTGGGGTAAACATGACCTTGTCCCAACCTTTTTGAAATGTGTTGCTGCCATCAAACTCATTAAACTTTTGACATGTAGTTATTGTAATCACCAAAAGATGATTCAAATTCTTATTTTCAGTGCTTGATATGTTTACTGTGTTCCATTGTGAATCAAACATGGGCTTATGAGATTTGCTAATCACTGCATTTTGTTTTAATTTAAAATTTACACAACACCCAACCATTTTGGAGTTGGAGTTGTAAAAAGATTTTTGGAGCTGCATAAAGTGGTGGTGGCTGATGCTATTTGAACTTTTGAACCACAATCCTTATTTTTTATTTTCATTACCAAGGTGAGCGACTCCTGCCCAATCAAAAGTCCCAAAGACCACCTACTTCTCAGTGTGGGGGCTGAGGTATATAAGGTTTGTCCAGATCCAGATGCCCTTCTGCCCCACCTCATCAAGGAAAACCCACTGCTGCCAGTTGTCTACAACCGCAAAATCAAGATTGATGTTGACACAAGAGGTTAAGACTCTATATATGAATAAATACCACGTGTGAATAATTAATATGTCATAATTCATGTGTAGTGTATACATATCAGGGACTTAATTTGTTATATGTTAACACACAGATATGACCAACTTTATGGTGTGTGTGTTTAACAGGTGGGGAGGAGTGGATCAGTACCGGTCTCTATCTCTCTCCTGGCATGAAAACCTACATTGCCATACCTACAGAGATTCTCAACAAAGGATGGCAGGTACTTTACACAAAGTCAGATGAGGATTTTCTCTGTTATTTATTTGATAATTTTGTGCTACTATGCAAACCCCATGTACACACTCCCATTTCAACTCAGACCACAGTACAGCTGACATCAGGTACACTTGCTTACCAAACTTATTTTTTGCAGATAACTTGTTGGTATGTCAGTGATTGCAGGAACGGAGCTCAGTTTTCTTTATTTGGTTGCTCAATTTTTTTTTAATTCCTTTTGAGTCGTCTAAATTGAAGGATACTGGTAAAACATACTGAGAGGAGAGAAGAAAACTTAATTCCATCGCCTTACTTTTGTATATTTTCCTTGCATTTCTGTGGAGTATAAAAGAACATGGTTGTAGAGCCCAAACAATATGGAAATTTTCGCTATCGTCGATACCGATTTTGTGGGGTTTAACCGCAGATAATCGATATAATGACTGAATTTTTTTGAGCTTTGTCCACCCTCAACACTTACTAACACTGATATACATTTACCTTTTACATTAAATTTATTGTTCTGGATAAAGTTTTACAAGGCAATAGCCTATGCTAGGTTATCTAAACGTTAGCTTGTTATCTTGCGAGGCACGTAGCTAATGACAAATGGGTTGGAGGATGGAAGAGCATTTATTATTGTTCATTTGTTTTACAGATCAGTTACAATAAACTTACTAGGCTCTGTTCAGTAAAATATGCTACACAGTATTGCTCCCTGCTTCAGCTGTGCTGAAAGTGAAAATGAAACTTAAGTGAACAGCCGTGGCTTGAAAGTATATGCGCCCTCTGCTGGATAAATTGTACAATTACGGCTGGTTTCCAGCATTTTGGGGGTGAAAATTGCAAGTGCTTATATCGGCGGATAATGGGACTGTTATCATAGATACGGATAGGTCCCCAAACGTCTATATCGGCCCTACCGATATATCGGTCGGGCTCTACATGTTTGTAAGAACATAATGCAACATTACCTCTCTACGTGTCTGATTCTCTAGCATACGTAATGCGATCTTCAGGAAATCCAGGTTGCCGCTGATACATTGGTCACATTGAAAAATTCTGCAGCACGAATGTAACGTTTTTATACACTCGTTGAAAAGTGTCCGTAAACTTTCTGTTGTTCGGGTCATAACTTCTGATCTGCTCAAGATAATTTAACAAAACTTTATAAACATTTGTACTACTACTAGACGACGTGTTGCATATTTTTTTCACATGATATTGTGGTGTACTTCTGACACTTGTGTGTATTAGGTATCGCTGCTGCCTATCTTAGTCTCATTAGAGCAGCGTATCAGTGGCATATTCCTTTGAGTTCTTGGCATGTGTACCATGTAAATCTGACATTGTTCATGATGAGTTGTAGTTGCTGCAGAGTACCGATTGCATTGTTTGAATATATGTAACTATGTCTGTGGCACATTTTTTCAGACCTGATTGCATACTGTTTAAAGGTCACGTGATATATACTTGCATAAGATAATCATTTTCCATTTATCCTTCATTCCACATAGAGGAAATTGATGTGCAAGTAACAACTAATGGAAAGAAACCCTAGAAGATTGTGGGTGAGACCAGATAAGCTTAGAGAAGACTGACATTCAGACACTGCCACAGACTCATGGTAGAACTGCCATAAAAATATTGCAGCAAATGCCACAAATACATTAATGTAACCTATGCCATTGTTAGGTTGTAGCACATTGTATAACTTTAACTCCCTTTGCCCAATACCTATGCAGTATATGTAATGAGAACACATTATGAATGTTAATTGTACCTCGTATTTGTCACAAATCTTAACTTTTTACACCATGTATTAAATTTTTTCACATTTTGACCCACATAAAAGGAATTTCCATATACATCAGCATGAAACATTGTGACAGAACCACAAGGATTAAAACAGGACCAAAAGATTTTGCCTGGTTTACAGAACAGCTGAAATTTAAAGTTATACTGTAACGTGCCCATATGCAGCTTCAAGAAGGAAGTTTGTCCTTTAGGACCAGTTATCATTTGGACATTTAGGAATGCTATAAACCGCATTTTTAAAACTGTATTTTATTTTGTTCTCAGGTTCAGATCGGCTGTCAAACAGATCGACTGCACTCTGAAGAGCTGAAGAGGCCTCCACGTGTTCACGAGCGATTTCCTGTGACCTCAGAGATGATCCAGGTGTGGAACCTGTGGGGAGGACTCCTCTACCTGGTGGCTCCACCCAACACGCAGGTGCAAGGGGTATATGCCACAGTGCAGATGGCCGTTCCTGCACCCTATTATAAATCAGGTGTGTGAAGAGTGTATCTGGATCTTCACAGGCTGGACGTTTATTCTAGGATTTAGGGAACAAATAGTAAGAAAATCTTATCTCTTTATCTAGAGCAAGTATTTTTTCAATCATCTAACAATGATATTTGCTAAAACAACTAAAGATTGAACATTTTTGTCATTAATCTAAAACACACTTTGTGCTGAAACTGTCCATAGGACGTTTGGTCACATCTGTAATCTGTTCAGATATGATCATCCTGTGGACAATTTCAGCACTTTAAAAATAATGTATGAAATCTATAAAAAATAATGATATTTATTAATTATATTAATCTAATTATGATCTGGGAGTGGTGGCGCAGAGGTTAGAGAAGGTGGCCTGTGATCAGAAGATCAATGGTTCAACTCCCGGCACCGACAACATCAAAATGTGGGTAGGATTGGTGAAGCACCCACATCTGTCTCCACCCTCATTTGCCCCACTCTGAGCCCTTGAGCAAGGCCCTTAACCCCACTATCTGCTCACCCGGGCACCCTACATAGCAGCTCTCTGCTCCACACAGAGGGCTGTGGCAGCTCGGTGGTCTGTGGTTGTGTCAGGAAGGACATCCGGTGTAAAAATAATTGCGAAGTCTTTGTGCGATTTAGTTAACTGTAGCGACCCCTGAAGAAGGGAGCAACTGAAAGAAGAAGAACAAAATTATCTTAATCTAAACAGTAACAGAGGAAAGGTTCAGGAAAGCAAAAACTAAGGTTTGTGTTTTAAAAAATGAATTTATATGATGTGCATATGTTTCCATAGATCTCCTGCTATTGACTCATTTTCTGGTTTACAATAAAACAACTTCTACATTTGGTTTGCATGTTGAATTAAAGTAGTAATTATGAGTCTAGCAGCTAATGTTGTTAACTGCTATTTCAGTCGTTCCTGAGCCATGCCATGTCAGGCATATGGGACGACCTCATCCATATGATGCCCAGATGTATCAAATTTCTCTACACCATGGCTGAAACGCTCGGTCTACGCCCCGTGACTCATTTCTTTGCAGCAACTTAGTGTCTCTGTGTTTACAGTAATTATGTTTCAAACACAAAGTTTAAAATTGGTAATGCTTCAGTTTCAGAAGTGCACCACCAGCAGATCAGTGATCAGATCAGCTTCACACACACCTTCACAACTTTTTGTACTTTTTTTTTTGTTTTTTTTGCCACACTACTTATCTCTGAGTGATCTTTGGTTATCTCTTGAGCATCCCTGACTTGCATTCCATAAAAATCTTTAGTTTTCTGTATCCAGATATTATTTTTGATTGTGCAGAGAGGAAATCCCCACATGCAGGACATATTTTCATCTTTTTGCATATTTAAATGGAGGCGTGTCTGGGGAAGTGTCTTATTTGTTCAGTTCCACGTTCATGAGATAGATGAAGAAAAGGTACTCAGAAACGTGTGCTCACAGTTTGATAAATCTGAAAATACTTTTCCAACTTTATCCGTACTCTTTGATAAACGAGGCCCCGGATCTTTACATGAGTCATGTTGGTTGTTGTTGTTTCGAACATTTAACTAAACATTTGTGCATTTGTTGTTGTCACTTTATCTGTTTTTGTTCCCAGGTGTGACAACTGCAGCTAACTGGTTGCTGCTGCGCACGGCTCCCTCACCCTGGGCAGAGCTGGAGTTCGACAACATCATCTTCACCGTACCGTCGGATGCTGTCAGAAACCTGGAGCGTCCCGATGAGGGGGCAGCCCTGTGGAGTGACATCATGAGAGCCATTGCTGACCTGGCTGCCGTACCACACAAATTTCCTCGCAAAGAGCGCTTTGTGGCAGAGGTGCAGATTTCACATGGTAGGCTTTCTGGTTTTTACACAGCAGTGCCTATACTGTTTTTAATTTCTTCATCCTGATGAGAATCCCCCCCCCCCCCCCATTTATTTTTTCTCTTCAGGTTGGATGCATGCAGGTTATCCCATCATGGCACATAAGTCCTGTGCATCTGAGGTGCTTAACACTGAAAGTGCAAAAACCAACGGCATGTGGGGTCCCATCCATGAGCTCGGACACAACCAGCAGAGAGGCTGCTGGGAGTTCCCGTCCCACACTACAGAGTGCACGTGCAACCTGTGGTCAGTGTATGTGCATGAGGAGGTGCTGGGGATCAACAGAGCAAAGGTAAACTGGCAACCAGAAGTTAAGTTCAAGTGTATTTACTCACATCAAATTCAAATTACTGCTCTTCTTTTTTGGACTTCTTTATTGTGATAATATTTAACTTTTTCGTGGAATTACAATCACAATCCCTCTGTTTTCCCCATGATTGACGCAGGCTCATCCAGCTATGAGAGTGGAAGAAAGAAATACTCGGGCAAGGGACTATGTGAATGGGGGTAGGCAACTCAGCAGCTGGAGCATGTGGGTGGCCCTGGAGACTTATATGCAGGTAAGAGATTCATGTTTTGTTGAGAAACCAAAAAGCGCAAACGGAACAATCTTTCACATTCATAAATATAGTAAAAAAAGGAAAAAAGTTGGTTTGGAAAATAATTTAATTCTAATTTACCAACAAATGTAATTTACCGTTTGTATATTTTATTTTTGCTCATTTCTTTCACTCTGTCCACACAGCTCCAAGAAAAGTTTGGCTGGGACGCCTTTAAGAAGGTGTTTGCTGCCTACCACAACATGAGCAACTTTCCCAATGACAACAATGGAAAGATGAACCTGTACGCTGAGACCTTCTCTCAGACTGTGGGCATGGATCTGACCAGATTCTTCAAAGCCTGGGGGTGGCCAATCACAACAGCCACTGAGGAGAAACTGTCCAGCCTGCCTCCTTGGTCTGATCACCCCATGACCCAGTATGACTGACCATCAGGCGGCTCTGGATTAGGGACCACCAGGATACAGTTGTTACAAAAACCAGTTTAAGTAGATGAGCTATATATATATATATATTCTGGGAAAATCAATTAATGGCTTTTGTTCTTTTGTTGGTTGTTTCTACATTTTTCTTTGGAAAGAAAACATAAATTACGAACGCAAAATATTATGAAATGGAAAGTCTTTCTAGATTTAGATTATTTGTTTAAAACTTTGCCATTTACTAATGGAATCAACTTTGTCTGTCAGGGAAATAAATCATGAACCACGAACCGATTTTCATGAAACCCTCAGAAAGTTATCGTTGGATGTGCATCTACAACTGGTCAACTTTTGGAGTCAACCCAGTTCACGGTCGCTGCCAAAGTTAATAGACATCTGAAATCTAAAAGCACTGAGCTCAAATTGGTCCAGTAGTAGCTAACAGATCATACAAGATTGCACAAAGCATTGCATGAGATTGCACATAACGTTAATTTCATTAAAAGTTTGTTAACACAGAATGACTGGCAATGACTCATTGATTCTGAAGTTTGGTGTTTAGTTACAGTTTGAATGTCCAGAGGACCAGATTTAATTTTTTTTGGGTGTTTAGTTAACCACTGAACTGGTATTGGCCCGCCCGGGGGGGACAGGTGACTAAGATTTGGTTATAGAGCCTTGTAGATTCTGTTAAGATAAGATAGAACTTTATTGATCTCGCAGGAAACTGTTGTGCCAGAGTTTCAATACAAATGAATATACACAAGGAATCACCCAAGATTTTAAAAAATAACAAAATATAAAAATACCAACAATTAAGGTCTAAAACCAAGGGTAACTAACTAATTTGAAGGGTTTCAAATTTAAGTACCTTAGTGTCAAAATGGCTGTGTAGGCCCTTTACTTTTGATTAACAATTGAGCCAATAATGCTAGAGTCAAAAACATCCACTGAGTAAAAACTACAAACTCGTTGTCCCCTGTTGCTGAGCAAAGTGGGGGTTAGTGGTGTAGGGGAACACCACCTCAGAAAAAGAACACCACTTCAGAAACAGTTCATCTCAGCTCAAACAGAAAAGAGTTCACCTCATCTCAAACAAACATCATTCATATGTTTTTGAGTTTGAAACTGTTTAAAATAAGATGCATATATTCCCTTGGGAACAAACAGACTTTGTTTTACATGTGTTCAACTCAGCTCACAAACTTCTTAGTTGACACTAATGTGAATGTATTAAAAAAAAAAACCTCTCACTGTATTAACTTCACTGCCAATATGAACTCATTTCCCATGAAACGGATAGATAGTTTTAATGAGTTTTGGTTCAACTGACCTCGAAGTTTGAAACATCTGCTGAGACTTTACCTTTATCAAAAAGGAGTATTACTCCCAGGATGGGTTCCCATGAAGACAACACATTTTAAAGAACCCTTTGTTAATGACATTTTCTTTTCAGGGGATAAACAGCAACACCTTTTGATGAACATTGCATGTTAGTGATTAAGTAATCTCTCTTTAAGAATATATTTGGTCTTATTTTTCTCTTTTGAAAGAGTAACTTTTAAAGGCAGACAGAGAAAATGGACTTTAGATTTTATAAAACATGACAAAGAGTTAGGACCATCCCTCTTCCGAGAGGTGGACCAAAGTCAATCTGTAACACACAGACAGTTAAGTAAGTTTCACTTCTTCTACAAGCACTGTGAAAGCTTAAAAAATAGACTTTAAAGAGCGTAGAAGTCTAAAATTCAGCTGAAGACAGGGACACCTTTTAAAATCAAGCGCAGATTTATTTTCTTTGCTGCAAAGGAGAACCCGTTCTCACCAGGAGTCTCAATGTAGACTGGACCAAGAGAGAAGGAAGTTCTGAATGAAAAAAGAACGATGTACACTTTTATACTTTTGTACAGCACACGAACATTCTGGAGGTAATACATCATATAGACATGTTAACAAAAGTGTTTGCTAAGGCAGTTTACAAAGGTCAACTTGTTAACGAGTCTGTTTCTTTGTGGCTTGGAATATTCTGGAAACATCTGTGTTTGTGACATTTAAATCAGACAATTTAGTCGAACAGTTGGTACCACAGCTAAGCTTTCAAAAACATGTTATTTCCTTTTGGTTGAAAAACTTAGACATCGCTTTTTTTTTAAACAATGGACCACCTTTTTACAATCTGCTTACTAAGACTTTTAAGAGTTTTCTTAAGAGGGGTGCTTTCCTGTTTTTCTGTTTTTCTGCAACCGTCTGCTGCAGGCTGAGGTGCTTAGGAATTGAAGCTGGCAAAAGTTCATCCAGAAGGCATCTTGAGGACATTTTGAGCTTATAATTTCAAACATTAAACATTTTATCATTAAACAAAAAGTATGATTATTTTATTTTCTCTAACAGCACTTCTTCTACTTCTTCATCAACGACTCAACACACTTCAACTGGACTTTGAGCAAACTTCAAAGATGCATCCTCCTAGAGAGACATCCTAAGAAGAGAATTAAGAAGAGACGCAGCCTTTATGCAAACGTCTCAGGACGAGAGAAACTGACTGAACCAGAACCATCACACCGCAGAGTGATAAATCCCAGCTGACTTCAGAGCCAGTGGCCGGACCTTCGTCCCTTCAACCCAAGGGCGTCAGAAGCATCCGTAATGTGGATGAGACACAATGATGTGCATGCACGTGTGCGTGCACGTTAAAGGAAGGTGTTCACTAGTGAACAAAAAAGCAGCATTTCACCTAGATTTCCTTTAATTCCACACATTTAAAACATGTTTCTCACCAAGTTTGTGTAAATTCATCTGTGAGTTTTAAAGACATTTTAACTTTAATACACTTTAATACAGAGCGTCAGAACGGCACTATTTGTTTTTAAAGAGAAATAAAAGCATCACCACTGGACTTTTTTACTTGTGTTCAACACTCCTCATCTAAATGATGTTTCTCATGAAGCTTGAGGACAATAAGGTGTAGGGTTTTAAAGACATTTCAACTTTAATGCACTTTTAACACACAGCGTCTCTTACACCTGCACTGTCTTACAGCTTCACAGTTACTGCTAAGCTAAGACAGACGTAGCGCTCCACTTCTCTCCTATTCATTCTCTTATTAATCAAGTGGAATGGATTCGTTCACGCAGAAAGAGAAACCGCGCCGCCTGAACTAATGTTTCATGGTAAAAGTGGGGGGTCCAAATGAACGTTTTTTTTAATGTGTGTGTGTGTGTGTGTGTGTGTGTAGTGGGGGTGGGGGGGGTTGTCCCCTTCACATATAATGGTTGCGATGCCTATGCTCCAACCAATGATAGGTGACTTTTGAGGAAAAATCAGCCTCTCAGTCACCGGAGCATTTCAGGCCTTGCTGGTATCATTTTAAGCAGCTGTGGAACATTCTGGCAGCTCGTTCTGGTGAGAGAGACTCTTCAATGCACTTCAGGTGATCATACATCACAATAATCTTATCAGACAAACTACAGCTCACTTTAGACACAGATTTTAACTACTTAACGAACAGAACCAGTCCAAAATCTGCCCTTTTAAGTTTCACTGATATGCATAATCATTTAGACCTTTGATACAAAGCTATTTGTTATTCATTTGTTTGTTATGCATAATTTATCATCACGTATATCACAGATTATAATTTTTATAATAAAATACATAAAATCAACTGAATTTGTGATTATTTTGGCATAGCTGTGTGTATTAACTGATTTGATGTCCTTTAAACATGAGAAAGAACTCACGTTTCAGTTTACATTAATTTGGGGTTAAATGAGAGACTGATTTTTCCTCTAAAACAGAGGTGGTGCCCAAACAACGAGGTTATTTGCATAATAAATGCATATCTTATGAGCTTAACTCATAACTGATAATTTACAATATATATCCAGCCCCATATCACCCTACAGTGGCTATTTACAAACTCTTTGTTCTAACACTAGACGAACAGAATTTGTTGTTTGGCTGTGTAGCCATGGGTCGTCAATAAAACCCATCCGTCCAGAAAAGGATCGACTTCTTTATGTTACAGAAAAGATGAGTTAGATTATATTTTAACACTTTTACGACTCGTAACTGAGTCGTGTATAACGTTGTTATTGTTTTATTTATAACCACTGTTGGATGGAGAATTTTTCATTTTCTCGTGAGTTTATGTTTGAATTTTGAGAAAACAGTGAGTCATTACTTTGGTTGCTCGCCCAGTCAAATTCATTCCTTCAACCTTTATTGATAAGAGTTAATCTCATTGAGACACGAGGACTCATTTACAAGAGAGACCTGTTTTAGACAGGCAACATACAGAGTAGAGACAACAATAAACTACAGTAAAACATGTTAGATTTTCTATTTTTTATTAAACTCTGCAGAATATTAGTGATGGCGACAGTCAATACAGCAGAGATGTCGTCTGATGTTCCAACATTAAACAGTTTCTTCTTTGGCGCTGTGGTCCTTCTTGAGGGGTCCCATAAAGGCCTTCTTCTCCTCTACGGCCTGGAAGCAACCATGACCAAACTTGGATGTGGTGCTGATAAACTTCAGGTCGAGCTTCTCCAACAGACGGTGGCTAGTCTGAACCAGCAGAGACTTGCGCAGCATCAGCACCCTTTTCTTGGTTCCAAATGACTTGTTTTGGTGTCAAATATTTTTACTTTAGTTTACTTAGCTGGTTTGTGTGCATGTATTTTGTATGTTCCTGATGGAATAAACCTTAAGAGATACAAGGATTTTTATTGTCATTCTCCTCACATGTGGTACATGAGGTGGAAAGCTATGTACAGGGTCCCAGTTACATCCAACAAAAATACAAATTGTAAAGAAAAACATTAGTAAGATCCAAGTAGTGAACCAAGAATATACTACATTCACTAAACTAAGAATATACAAGACTAAGAATACACTATGTAAAGGCAAACTAGTTATTTTAGGCCCACCTTAGCCATGATTTGTCTTCCTCAATAAGTTACGACAGCGAGTCTCTTTAAAAAAAAGTTTTCATTGCCAAACATGCTTGTTGCCCAGAAAAACTGTGTTCATAGTGACTTCATACAGCTGAGCTATGTAAATATCTTCAAGTTATTCTATTATAGATTTTTT